AATGTATGACTCCTGCATCAATGTTATAGCATGGACCATTGCTACTCACTTCTTTCAAATGTAATGCTGATACAGGAGTGTGAAGAGTTGCAACTTTCCCCACATGTAAACTTCTTCTGACACCACAAGTGGTCCAGTTTGACAAGGAATTCAATGGTGCTACATTAAATGGACTAGACTGAAGAAGAAACAAACTAGCAGTGATTTCCCAGGGAGCGGCAGAGGTTTGAACTTGAGGCAAATCCCCACAGTCCACAAAACAGCTGCTTGAGCTAAAGATGGGATGAATAAGGTCAACCATTTCAAACTTTTTAAAAAAAAATACAAATTAATACTAAATAATAGTACAGTAGCAAACTATCACATACTGTATATAATGGTAGTTTCAGGTCAGATGTGCACCTCTTCACCTCCCCTCACACACACACACACACACACATTCTTCAGTTAGTATTCCCATGAAAACAGAGCCAGAAAGGTAATTAAAAATGACATCATGTAAACTCGATAGCCAAGTAATGAACAAGTGCTCAAAACTAAATAACTTTTAATTAGATTTCCCTCAGGATTAGACAAACCCATGTCATCCTAAACAATAAATCTAATAGTTTGACATAAAATAAAAATGTTGTTCTCAGCCTCACAGAACTATCAATTTCCCTTCTGCTGAAATGATTGTTCAGAGAAAAAAATAAAACACAGTGTAGCACCATTACACGTTGGCTTAGCACACCAATTTCTTTCCCATCTCCCCACAGTGCCGAAATTTCCGAAAGCAGTTAGAATGTATGAAAACAAAAACATTTGTGTTTTGCCCTGAGACTTATTCTTTTGATGTGAATGAGGGAATGAGAGCCCCTGAGACGCGTTTTTTTTCTGTTTATAGCCTTTTGCCTTCGTCGCTGGCTGTCCCTGTTTATTTCCTTTTCAAGCCTTCTGCAACATTTTGTGTAATGGTCTCCAGCATCCTGTGTGAGGCCAATGGGTTCAGTTTTATCACAGTTTTCTGTTTCTCTTCCTTCTGCAGAAACTGTCTCGTTCAATGGCTGGTACTGATAAGATGGCCTTATGCAGTACATGTATAAATATCAACACCTCACACTAAAATTAAAAGCAGTACAATATTCTACAAAACATATTAAGTCTGGAGCAATATGCACCAATCTAGATTTTCTGCCTTTGATATCAATTTAAGCAATACATAGGTTGGGCTCATTATTGCAGCATAATATGTTTGACCTCTTCAATCTCACCACATAAGATCCTTACTTCATTAAACTAGCATTAAAGTTGGTTACGTAGGTATTTACATCTGCATTTCTAGCTCCATATGAATGTAATCGTTCGAGAAATACTGGTCCTGTTTTCTCATGTCTGTATTCTCATACTTGTATAATTGGTTGTTGAAGTTTGGTGTTGAGGTATCAAACAGAACCTTTAGCCTTTGAAAAAGCAGGTCTTTATCTCAACTAAAAAAGCAAGGAAGCGATTCTTCAGTTCTACAGAGCCTTGGTCAAACCCCATCTGGAGTACTGTGTTCAGTTTTGGGCACTGCACCTCAGGAAGGACATATTGGCCTTGGAGGGGCTACAGCACTGATTCACCAGAATGATACTGGGGATGCAAGGGTTAAGGTCGAATAAACTTGGTTTGTGTTCCCTGGGGTTCAGAAGGTTGAGTGGTGATCGAACCAAAGTGTTTAAAACAATAAGGGGACTCGATAGGCTGGATACAGAGAAACTGTTTCCTCCAGTCAGAGAATCCAGAATCAGGGGACATAATCTTAAAATTAGAGCTAGGCCAATTAGGAGTGAAACCAGGAAACATTTTTACACACAAAGGGTTGTGAAAATCTGGAATTCTCTCCCCCAAAAGCTTGGAATTTTCAAGACTGATAAATGGAGGTAAATGGAGTTGAGGAACAGATCAGTCATGATCTAATACAATGGTGGAACAGGCTCAAGGGGTTGAATGGCCTCCTCCTGTTCCTATGTTTCAGATACAGGGACCGCTCAGGATCTGAGAAGTTTCAACTTTCCTTCGAAGAAAAAATAAAACAAATAAAATCCTTCGGAGGACACTGATTGCAATGTTTTGTTTCATTAAATATTAATCCTGTGAAGCACTTTGAGATGCCCTCTGGATGTGAGAGGTGCTTTATGAAATGCAAAAATTATTATTTTATTATTATCATATTAAAGTTACAGTATTTAATGTAGAGATATTTGACCTTTTAGCTGCTTGGCGTCTTCCAAGATAAGTGTATGAGATGAGAAACTAGATATCGAGTTGCATTAAACTCCAGTTCACCCCAACGTAGAATGGCATACACCAGCCATTCCCCAATAATAATAATAATCCTTGCATTTGATATAGAACCTTATCAAGAATATACTGTAAAGTGAATTGACTGTATATTTGGTGGGCGAAACGCAGTAGCCAATTGCGCACAACAGTGTCCCACAAACAGTCATGGATTGAGTGACCAAATTATTATTACTATTTTATTTATTGGTTTATTTGAAGGGATTATTACCTCCAGAAAAGCATTCCACCAATCGACTAACAACCGGGTTCCTACTTACTGCTAGGTAAACAGAGATGTGTGGAGTAAGGAAACTTGCCCAACGTTTCACCCTGCCGGGAATCAAACCCAGATCTCTCGCTTGCGATGGGAGTCCTCTCACCACTAAGCTACAGGATTCCTCTCGTTGGTGGTAGCTTCCTAACACCAGTGCTAAGGTTGCCACAGGTGTGTGTTTTATACAACTGCCAAGTATAAGTCATACAGATGCATGAAAAAAAATCCACCTTTTTTTTGCTAAAATACTGGATTTTTGGCTCCCATTTTCTTCATGTTCTAGATTATGCTGCTGTGTGATATTCTGCCACCCTATACATCTCAATTGAAAATTCTCAGCTCCCAAGGACTCTGTTATAATGAGGATGAAGTTCACTTATTAATGATTTGAGATTTCACAACCAAATGTATTGTAATGATTCACATTTACATGAGTTGAAAAGGAAGACTGCAAGGTTACCCAGTAGAACATATAATTACTGAAGATGAAGAGAGCTTCCTGCCAGTTGGCAAGCGGTAGAGTCATTACCAAACCCATCAGTATTGTTAATTATGTTGGACATATCAGTTGCCAAATTCAAAAATTATTTCTACTTATCAATGCAATGTTTTTGTTCCTGACTGTAAAACAAACTGTAAAAGTGACTGCAGCTGAATTCTTAAATACACCTCACCCTTTTTTTGCAGATGAAATCCACAGAATTATTTTTAATCTTAGCAAAATATGATTTTGAACCTGAAAGGCAATGATACACCCTGAACCACCCTAATCTGGCACCGCAATACTCTTAAGAACTTTGAAGGGATGTTTACTTATGTTTGATAATGTCTACGGAAAAAAAGAACCAGACATCATCCACAATGAGCACACAGTATGTTTTCCTTTTTCTTAGTGGCCACTGCATTTAGACCAAAGCCTTTCTGAGGAAGTAACTATTTCTAACTTTTGAAGGCATAACTAGCTACCAAATTAGCACTTAAAACTGAAGGACCATTTGTGATAGTTGTGGTCTTCTTCCTTACCTATCACCTTTTGTGAATTGTGAAAGGGAATTGGTTAAACAACTTCAGATTGTTTAAGATCCTTGTATACTCTCTGCCATCTTATGAATCAATTTATGTCCATGCTGGTTTCTTGCACTTTGACCCATTTAATTACTATTTTCAAGTGAATTTAAATTGAATTGTTTTGTTTTACAAAATATAAAGTTCTGCTTTCTGATGCTGTCAACACCTAAGAGCTGTGTTATCAGATTTTGTGTGACCTGTGATTATTTGGACACTGCCAGCTCTGAAATGAAAGCAAAGATCCCCAACTCCCCAACCTACTTGTTCAATAAGTAATAACAACACAGCATTGCAGAAATAAAGTAACCCCTTCACATTTACCTTTCACTTGGTACCATTGGCTGTCTCTGATATAATGGCAAATACATTAATTGATGAACTAGTAGTAATAGTCTTTGCATTTGACATAGCGCCTTATCACATAGTTGAGACGTCTCAAAGCGCTTCACAGAATATATTGTAAAGTAGAAAATAAAAGGCAAAATGCTGCAGATACTGGAAATCTGAAATAAAAATAGAAGTCGCTGGGAACACTCAGCAGGTCAGGCAGCACCTATGGAGAGAGGAAAGTGAGGGTCATTGACATTTAACATTAACTCACTTTCCTCTCTCCATAGATGCTACCTGACCTGCTGAGTATTCCCAGCGACTTCTGTTTTTATTTCAGATTGTAAAGTGAATTGACTGTGTATTTTGTGACCAAACCCAACAACTAATTGCTCAAATAACTCAAAGTATCTGACATTCAATTATCTTTTAAAATGGTGTAATAATTTTAGTTGTTTTTGAAGAAGCTTTTCTGACAGTGTACCTTAACTGCGATTTTTCCTTGGCACAGATTCTGGTGAATAATAAATTTGGGTAGCCTTTTGTTCGGTTACCTTTTCATCTCCTGTGCTTTCAATCTGTGAATACCTCAGCACTGTCACTTTTCACACTACTCACATAACGCATATAATGATATAATAATAATAATCCTTGCATTTGATATAGCGCTTTTCACGTCGGGAGGACGTCCCAAAGCGCTTCACAGAACACACTGTAAAGTGAATTGACTGTATATTTGTGGGCGAACGCGGCAGCCAATTGCGCACAGCAATGTCCCACAAACAGTCGTAGATTGAAAATGACCAATTTATTATTGTTTTTGGTTTTTGGAGGGATTATTATTAGGCGTGTGAAATAAGGAAACTTGCCCAAAGTTTCGCCCTCTGCCTGGAATTGAACTCAGGTCTCTCGCTTGCAAAGCGAGTGCTCTACCCACTGAGCTACAGGACTCCACAAATATAGGGCTGTTGCATGTATTTCTGTTAACACTTGTAGTGCCAAAAGGGTGATACAACTATACGACCTGCATGAAAGTTTGATGAGTCTTCTACCCCTTTCAAACTCTCCCTCATGTTTAGCTTGGCCTATTTCTTCCCTAGAGAGAAAGGAAAACACAAAGTTGGCAGTGTATACTTGTAATCGTATTCCTATGATATTGATGTGACATTTTTTGATAGCAAATAGATCGAGATGGCTGAAACCTGATAAGCATGCAGTTCATCTGCCACGAAATGTTATGTTTCAATCAAAATTTCTGGAAACGGCTTATAAAAATGACCAATTTGGAATCCGTTATTGTACTTTAACCCATTGAATCGCTATTTTCAAGTGAATTTAAATTGAATTGGTTTGTTTTACAAAATATAAACTAGTAATAATGGTACTCAATTGTAGTAATAGTCTTTGCATTTGATAGCGCCTTATCAGGCAGTTGAGACATCTCAAAGCGCTTCACAGAATGTATTGTAAAGGTGGAAAAAAAAGGCAAAATACTGCAGATGCTGGAAATCTGAAATAAAAACAGAAGTCGCTGGGAACACTCAGCAGGTTAGGCAGCACCTATGGAGAAAATAAAGTGTGTTAACATCTCAGGTCGATGACCTTTTGTCAGAACTGCTAGATTTCTGTTTGTCCCTTACTACCAGATTTCTGCTTTTCTTTCTCTCTCTAGAGAACCATCACTGACGCACGGGGGAAAAAATAAGTCTGGTTAAGAGTGAGTAGCACACCATCCAATGTTTCCCTTTATAATGACAGTACATAGTGGGTGGTCTTGCTACTTCCATGGAACTTGCTGGGACATCCAAAGCATTGTCATTCTATCCCCAGCGAGTCTGGAATCCAGCCTTGTATTCCATCAAAAACTGCTGGGGCCAAAAAAAGGAGACTTGAGGGAAAAAGTAATATCTTTTCTACTGACAGAGCAAGAAAGTAAAGATAACAAGAAAAACTGAAATGTTGGGAATTTGAACTAAAAACAGGGCAGACTTTTCATGGTGTGGGGGCCACTATAATGGAGGGGGACATTAAATGAATGGTAAATCTTTTTATCAATGGTATTATCCATTTAATGTTTCCCCTTAAGACACAGCTAATTTATGTTGCAACATGTACTTGTGGTGGCATTGATAGAGTTGCCGAATCAAGGATATTTATTCTTCGATCTTACTTTAGTTTTACCAATTCTCCAAGCATTTTCTAGGTAATGCAATTACTCTTTTCTCCCTAGTTTAAGTAGACTGAGACTCACGTGGATTACAATACACTTTATTACAGATACTGCACTTGTCTCTGCTGGAATTGCAATTTAAACTTCAAATCAACTACATCTGAATTAGTATGAACAGTTTTGCCCAAAGCTATTACAGCATTTTTTGTTCATATTGAAGCGACAGTTCATATTTCTGAGTTATCTTGCATAAACTATGTTACTAGAACAATATTAATGATAAGTTTTGCTTTCCCAGGAACCTAACCAAACCATTTTCCATTCCCTAAACCATGAGTTCTTTGTGGATTTGCTGCTATCTTTCACTTCTCCATCTGATCTTCTCCTGGCATCCACTGGCTTTCGTTATTCCATCACTGGGGCTGCCCAGACCCATCTGGTGCTTTGTTGACAGCCTTGAAATTGGTGGAGAGTGGAGTCCTTTAGCAAAGTATTGAGAGCACTCGCCTCAGAAGCGAGAGGACCTGGGTTCTATTCCCAATTAGGGCCAAACGTTATGCAGGTTTCCTTACGCCACATACCTCTGTTTACCTAGCAGTAAATAGTCGATTGACGGATTGCTTTGCTGGGGGTAATAATCTCTTCCAAAAAAACGAATAATAATAATTTGGTCATTCAATCCACGACTGTTTGTGGGACACTGCTGTGCGCAATTGGCTGCCATGTTTCACCCACAAAATATACAGTCAATTGATTAATTTCACAGTACATTCTGTGAAATGCTTTGAGACGTCTCAAAGATGTGATAAAGCGCTATATCAAATGCAAGGAATATTATCATTATATTAGAATTCACACTGTTGGTAAGTTCACAATAGATAATTACAAAAAATAACTAATAAACCTTTTGCTGCACTGGTCTGTGAGTCTTTGAGGTCCCCTAAACCGATTCTGTTTCCTTGTCTGGCCTCTCTCTTCACTTCCACTAATCTATTTCATAACATTCCTTTCCTGGATGCCCCCTTCCCCCACCTCCAACTCCCAAGATCCCTTTAAATCTCAACCCCTTGTGTTATTTATAAATCTCCACATTCTGGGATCATGTATCCAACAATCCTGCAGCAGCTGTTGTAGTGTGTGCTCTCCCAACGAAAGGATACCATATGGAGACCAGCCAGTAGGTGAGGAAAAAAATAAAAAATAAAAGATGAATGTAAAAATGAGAGCAGTGTCAACTCATTCAAATCGCAAATGTTGACTATTCCAGTGTTTGCAATGGGCACACTTGACAAAATGCCTAGAATCCATTGGTACTTTCTTCCTTTAAGCACAGCTACAGGAATGTAGTGTAGGATACTTCAGTAATTTTGTTACAGATATTGCATTGGCATTCAGCCAATGCAATAACTGTAACCCTGGATAATTCACTCATTCACTGTGAGGATGGGAGAATATGTGTAAAAAAATGTCACAGACAAATAGAATACGAAATAAGTTCTAGTATTTCTTGCACTGGCTGTTTCCATTACTCATGGTTGCTGATGGACGCTCCATTCTTCTGCCCGATTTGCACGATTCAGCTCTAGTGACATTGTTGACTGGATTATATCTGATACATTTGGAAACTCAATATTATAGCCCACTTTCATTTTTTTTCAACAGGCTTTCACATTTGCCCACAAAATGCAGTCTGACCACTTACGGTATATCCTGTGAAGCACTTTCACCTTGTATGTTGTCCCACTTATTTATTATTAGCAAACAATGTCAATTTGGTATCACACCACTGGATTGATATTCTGGTCATTTGTGGGAATTAGCACAAATTGGTTGCCACGTTTGCCTACAAATATGCATTCACTACACTTTGCAGAAAATTCTGTGAAATATTTTGAGACATTTCGATATGATAATGCACTTTATATTATTACTTTTTAAAAAGTTTTTCCGCTATGGGAATTAATATTAATGGGCTCTAATTTTGTCTTTATTGCCCTCTTAGGACTATATATAATAGCAATCCATGCATTTCTCTCTCTATATATATATATATATATTTTAAATGTATAGCCACATGTATAATCAAACCTAGTAAGTATCACAGTATTGAAGTATTTATTCAGATGCACTATTTTGGGGAGATTGTTCTTGTGCAAGAGTTGATTTTCTTCCAAATGTTTTAGTCGGACAGTTGATTCAGCTGGAATTGGGTGAGAATCAACAATGTATCATTTGGTAAGGTTTCCTATTTTCCCACCAGAACTCGAACCACTAGAGATTACGGTTGGTTGTAATGGTAAGATCGTATGATAATCTACATTCGCTTCCTTTTTAGACAGAAATTGCAAAAAATTGTGAAGATTACGAAAAATCAACCAGGGATTTTTTAAAAAAAAGTAATCTGAGAAATGGGTAAATGATTTGTAACTTTAGCGATGGCTCATTATGGCCAATGGGAAAATGGTATTGTTTTTATTAATACCTGCTGGGAGGAAGTTTGTTATGTGGTTAAATCAACTACTTTTTGTTTCTATTACAAATATTGAATATCTGCTTCAATCTTTCTGAGCTCAGGGGGAAGGGTTCTGACAAATATATAAACGAATGGCATTATGTAAACTTGCACATAGCAGCGTTCACTCACCAGCTCCAGACCCACTAACAATGGGTAATGCAAGAAAGTGTTCAGTTTCTAAGTACAATTGTCTCATTGAGGCTCAAGAGGCAGAACACAATGAACTCCAAAAGAGCCACAAGGGACTACCAATGCTTTTCCAACCTTTTCTCCATCTTTTATTTCAGTGATACTGCACATAATGCCAATGGCAATATCTTCTACTGATTTGTCTTTATCTCCTTAAATATCATATCATGTGTTGGATCAATAGAAATGTTCACAAAGGAACAAAATAGGTACCTGAGCAGCAACATCAATAAGGTATGTGGAAGAACGGATGGAACAAGGCAATTATTTGGAAAAACAAGTAGTAATAGTACAGACTTAAGGGATAAAATTGTCCTGTTTTGTGAAAGAAAATGTTTTTGTTTCTATTAAGTAAATATTAATGTTAATAATAATATATATAACATTTGATATAACACATATAATGATAAGAACATCTCAAAGTGCTACTCAAAGTTTTCTGTAAAGTGTAGTGACTATGCATTTTGTAGGCAAATGCGCCAGGCAATTTGCACACATCAGTGTCCCACAAACAGCTATAAAGTGAATGATCAATTGTATCTGGAGGATTGGTGGCCCAGGACATCGGGAGAAACTCCCTTTACTCTTTTTAAATAATACCATGGGATATTTAACATCCACCAGAACAGGCAGCCAGGCATTTAGTTTGTTCCGAAGTGATGGCACTTCTGAGAATCCAGGGTTCCCCAGCACTTCATTGCAGGACCAGCTCAAAATGTGAGCTTTGACTACGAGACCTGATGTGAGGCCTGAACTCACAAGCTTCTGACCCAGAGGTAGGAGGCTATCAACTGAGCCAGGCTGATTTAAAAACAAATCTTTTAAAAGTACAAAAATGAATTCTGAGATTTTACCATACTGTTCACAAATATCACACACAAAGGCTATAGAAATGTAATGTTGCTGTTGTTTGTTGTTGTTTAAATTATTGTAAAAAAATTCTAAATTACAGAAGCGTATGATTCGTGTTGCTTTATAGAGTTCGATGGGTATTATTTTTTCATTTCAGGAGAGTGAAATGTCTCAAGGTGAGATGGTAGCAATTAAGCTGAATCCGTTCAGCGAGTTGCATTCAGCCGAGATGACCTAACCTCATGTAGCTCTCCAGGAAGAATAGCCCATTGCCACTGGGGAATGGAAGAGAGGAAGAGAATCTCCGTACCTTCTTTTATAGTTGCTTTCTGGAATATGCTGTCTGCTACATACCATAACTCCTCACCGAAACGAGGCTGACTGAAATCAAGTGATTCCTAACACGTGCAACTACTTCGATATTCTGGCAGTTTCACAAATCTGATTATCTTTTAAGTTCATGTCTCACATCACTGTATAAATGTATAACAATGTGTAAGGTATAACTGTTTCACTTCAAACCCGTGCTAGATCAATAAAATGCATCAGTAAGTTTCTTTACTAATTTACATGGTAGCTGTTGCCTCATCGAAGCTATCAAGTACATTTGTCGATTTAATATGTTCTGTCATGATACCAACTTGTTAGCTATGTACATTCAGATATTATCATAAAGTCAAAGGCTAAGTATTTGTCAACCATAATCCAAACATCATGTAACAAGCAGTTTCAATAAGAGCAGAGCAAAATGGAACACAATTTCTGACAGGAGTTAAAGACCTGTATTATGATTCTTACTTTTTCTTATTAATGTTTCCACCTGCATTAAACAATTGGGAGTAATCTTTGGTTTGTTTCTGAGTGCTATTCAGGTTCAACACACTTCAATGTCAGCACATCTGCGGCTCCTGTTACTCTGTCTTTCCAGTGATGCTCAGTTAATGTATTGAACTTGATGGTTCAGCCTTTCTCCTGAGGATACTTGCAATCTCTAAGGTTACTAGCTAGAGGATCAGACCCTATAACATATACTGGGAGCATGAGTTCGACTGCTCTGTTGGATGCTTCCTATGAATTGAATGTGTGTCAATTCAACAGGATATGTTTTCAGAAGAGACAAAAAAAATCTTCCTGTGACATAAACCACAGTCAATCTTCTGCTTCTCTTGTGTATATCTTTGTTCATATCCTAGTGGGTTTTTTTACGTTTGCTACTGCTATTTCAGAAAGTAGTATAGGTCCTGTTGCCTCTATTTTCACATTTTTTTATTCCTAATCTGTCAACTAATCTGTCAAAGAGTAAATAATTTTACATACTAAGCAGGAGGGTTATTCAAATGTTCAGTGAGCACATGGTTATTTACTGACAGATAGGCAATTGGCTCTCCTCATTCCTATTTTTACTTTGGGGAAAACACTTCATCAATTCTAAGATCGATATTATCCAATATTATCGCCCCACTTGTTGCATAAGTCCCTGTATGTTTATTTTCAGACAAGCAGACTGACTGTATGCCTTCTCTGAATCAGATCATGGTGCTAAGTGACCTACTGTACATTGTATCCCTTAGGAAATCGGAAAAAAAATATAGTGGACAATAACGCAAAATAAAATCAGATTATGATCTCCCTTCATAGAGGCTGAGAAGCCTCACATACTAACAAAACAGAATGCTTAACCATTCTGATTTTGAGCAATCAGTTGGACCCTCTGTCTCTTCCTTGTCTTGCAAGTCACAGAAATCGCTGCTATGTCTCCACATTCTAAACGATCTGATTAAACTGACTGCTACAATGAAGATGCAGTCACATCGGCTTATTAAAATTCTGTCTTTACTGCCATTCTGGGTCAGCAAAGACTTCATAAGATTAAATATTGTACCTTAATTATGCCGGCCTCTAGCTTGGTCAGTTAAATTTAATCTCGACACCCAGCAGCAATATTTATTTCCTCTCATATTGAGGCTGTAGAAAGATAAGTTAAAGTGACCTCTGTGATTCATTTAAAATCAAGATGCAATCTAATGCTTTAATTATATCAAAGAGTATTCGGACTTATTTTTAACATTATCTAGCTATCTCTCTATTTTTAATATCACTGAGCCACTATAGGAAGCCTTCATAGAAAACAATTTAATGATATTAAAGCTACAGGGAAAGTCAGGGAGAACGGGATTAGAATAGACAGATCCAGATCTTTTCTTCAATCCAAGTGAATGAATAGGATCTGGAGCTAAAACTTTATAGACACCAAGTAAAATTCGGGAGCTCAAAATTATGATTATGACACTGGGTGCATTTTACAAGCTCAAGAAATGAGGAGAGCTCTCCCTTGCAAATGAGACACGAACTACATTATTGTTATTGTTCAATGCCAACACACATTTTTGAGTTCATCACTTGCATGTCTGCATATGAGCAATAAAACCCTGAGATGTGAACATGTGTTGAAATTCAGTCACAGAGAGAAAGAACATTATATTGGCAAGCACTTAGGAAAGTACCTGTGACTCTACAAAGTAAAGCGAAAGAAGAGTTCAACTGGGTGGAGAAGCTGAAAATAGCCTTTAAAATTGAAGAGTGGAAATAATTCAGGAGTGATTGTTAAAAAGCTAGATTAAACCTTCTGAAGTTTCCTTGACCCCCAGAGACATATATAAAGCAATCAAGCAAGAAGATTACCACCTAGCTGCTGGAGATGAGATAGATAACTTCCAGGCCAGCAAACACAAAGTGTTTCAATATGTTTGGATGCTAGCGGCAACTCTGAGCAAATTAAACTTGCTTAGCTTGGCAGCAAGCTGTGCACTTCCAATACACCTTTTGAAATGTACCAATCCTTAATAGTATCCTTTTGGAATAATTTCAGGACCGAAAACTTAATAAACTGAAAGGACTTCATATTGATTAAACACCTGAACAGACTAGACAGGTCAACATTTGCAGCACTACTGGAGACGTCCAGGCCAGAGTCAAATTAACAGGTAGCTAGCTCATGGCAATGATAATAACGTATGTGCCTAAATGTCTTCCTAACGTTACAAAACTGAGTGCATTACATTGCGAGTCACGAACACAAAATTTCAAACGACATTGGAAACACCTTTTTTCAATTTTACTGGAATCTACTTGAGTGAAGTATTAGATTTCCTGTTCACTTTGGTGTAGGCAGAAAACTCAAAATGAAAATGCGAAATTATTGCTTAGCTGAAAGTGATTCCAGTTCATTCTCAACTGAATGCCAAGGAGGAGAAAGAAACTGACAATTATGGCAAAATAAGCTTTATTCTCATTTGTGCCAAAGATGAGGATTCAGGCGCATTCGCACCACATGTACTATGTTACAAAACCCCGTGTCGGTAGAAGGAACTCAGTTATACTTCTCGTCTTGAGCACAACACATCCTCAATACAGTTTTGCTGATCAGCCATTCAGGAACATTTCCTCCGGTCCTACTGATAATTACTTGGCAGAGTGTAAGAACACCATCTCCACAGTGAGGTGTTGTTATAATAATAATAATAATCCTTTCATTTGTTGTAGCTCCCTATCACGTCTGCGAGACATCTCAAAGCACTTCACAGAATATACTGTAAAGTGAATTGATTGTGCATTTTGTGGGCGAAACATGGCAGCCAATTACGCACAGCAGTGTCCCACAAAGAGTTGTGGATTGATGTGACTGATTTATTATTATTATTTTTTTGTTATGTTATTCTTTTTTTAAAAAAATCACAGATGATCCACTGAATTCGCTTTCTATTTCTAGTAACAGAAAGAAAGGACGATAGCAACGAACACACAGCGAGTTGTTCGGATCTGGAATGCATTGCCTGAAAGGGTGGTGGACATTGATTCGATAACAGCTTTTAAGAGAGAAGTAGATAATTATTTGGGGAGGACAAGTTTACAGGGCTATGGGGAGAGCGCGGGGGAGTGGGATTGATTTGGGTAGCTCTTTTCACAGAGCCGGCACAGACACGATGAGCCGAATGGCCTCCTTCTGTGCTGTATAATTCCATGGTTCTATGATTCTATGACAACCACGTATTCGTTTCTGCCATTATATGAATCAGTGGCAGACAGAAGCTGATAAACAGAGCTACGTATTTGAGATTACATGTCAACAACAACGTGAGCAGGCTGCCCACACACAGTGCTGTAAAAAATATTTTCTTGGGCAGTGAAATGGGAACATCACTTAAAGTGACATGTTTCAGAACGCAATGTAAAGCCCAAGCATGAAAGAGAGTCAGATTAAAACAATTCAAAAGCAACTCTAGAAATCAACGGTTCCTGGAAAGATGTCATTATTAATAATAACGATCCTTGCATTTGATATCGCGACTTATCACACATCAAAATATCTCAAAACTTCTCACAGGATTCACTGTAAAGCGTTGTGGTTGTGTATTTGTAAACAAACGCAGCAGCCAATTTGTGCATAGCATTGTCCCCAAACAGCCATGAACAGACTGTGGTCGGTGGTGGTAGGAATCATTTGGTAGAAAAACAAAGGAGCAAAAGGAACACGACATACACTCTCTATCTGAAGACATTTCATGTAATCTAGTAATATATTTTTTAATAAAACAAATTTATATTCAGTATTAATTACTTGCTGGAGGTGGTGAGGGATGATTTTCGTAGACATATGGTGTGTGGTGATGCCATCTAATGGTGATTGCATATAACGTAAACATGATGATGTGAAAAAATCAAATCAAGTTAAATGAAATAAATGCAATTTGAAAATAATTCATTTAAACCGAAATTAAACACTAGTAGTTAGTAATTAATAGGCAAAAGCAACATTTAGAATGAACTATTGGTAAGCTATTGTATTTTGAGAGTATCCATGGTTGCAGACTTAGCCAGTAAATGGGTTAAAAGGAGCAGTTTGACCATTCTCGTCGCTTGTCCTGGACACACTAGATCTCACACTAGGAGTAATGGCCTACTCCTGCTCCTACACGTTATGTTATCTCAGCCACAATAAGCACAGTTGCCAATCACCTCAGGATTGTGATCTCCAGTGACAAAGGACTGTTGGGATCCAGCATTGTTATAAGGGGAGTTTGGATCACACACTGAGAAATAAAATGTGACAAGCATCTGCTCCTCCGATCAGCTGCCCAGGCAACTAGCAACTTGTGCCAGGAGCTGTTCATCGAGGATATAAATTTGGTTGACAAATGGATACAACTAAATGCTACTTTTAATCATTTTGAAAGGTACAAGTTGAAAAGGATATAAATCGTGTGCAATGTTTGCTTTTGTATATTTCAGTCTGAGACAGATGATGTTTTTTGTACATTTTAAATCTACAGCTTCTGCGTTGAGAAGTTACCTCAGCTGAAAACCTCACTGAACAATTATAGTTTATACAGCGCACATTCTCTCCTAGGCTCTACACATCGATTTGAGGACGGTTAGTGAATTGGGTACAGAAGAATAAAGCTGTGAAGAATTCAGTCATCATGAACCAAGATTATTTGAACCTTCCCGAAACACACATGGGTTGCAAGAAAATCTGACCAACTCTTTGTAATGATATTCCAATTTGACTCATGTGAAACTCTGAAATATAATTAGATTGATTTTTGTCTGCTCGGTTATTTATAGATTTTCGATTGAATTTTTAGGTTGTTTTTTTTCAGGCTTGAGAGTAGAACGGGAGAGGCAAATGAGAAAATAATTAAAGGTAAGTGCACGTTATTTCAAAGGTGAACAAGAATACTGCAAACACGTAATGAGCGAGTAGCCATGTTTTGTATCGGGTACGCATACTCTGAACTTTGAAGGCTATCGTTTGTCTGTGAAAGATGCTAATAATGGCCTTCATGTATTGAGACATAAGGAGATTACAATAGCCTTGGAGCTTTGAAGAGTTTCATTAAAAGCTCGAAGTGACAGGAGAAGAACAGCTCTATTCATGTTAAGATCTTAAATGGCCACTTAAGTCAGGCCAGCAAAAATAATTTAATATAACCTGACAGTGCAGCTGAATTCTATAAATGACCCTGTTCCTAACTCCCTCCAATTGTACTAAATGTACACGTAAAAAGTAACTGATATGCAGCAACATTTAATAAATTATCTTGTTCCCGGCTTTATTATTTTAGTACTAAATGTACATAAGCAAACCAATAGGCTCTTAGAAGTCCAGCCTTCATTTATTTCCTAACGTGAAAGCCACAAGTCCAGTTAACTTATAAAACAGGCTTCAAGCAATTTAGATATAAATCAAAAAGCACTCCTCCAATATCCAGTTCCCAGTGCCAATTAATGTTTATCAATCCATCTGTTCAATGACAACGAGTTTCAAAAGTGAATGTTTTCAATCTTTTCTTTTTAACCAAAAATTACGTTGGCTCCTGCTCCATGAAGAACATACAGTTCAGATTTTTACTTTTTTTTAGAAGATTATAAGGACCACCATCACACACAAACATCTTCCATATAAATACTAAAATAAATGAAATCTTCTAAATTTTGAAGCCTTCAAGGTGCCCATTTCTTAAGCATTGCAAATTGGGACAAATAACGTTACCATTGTGCAAATGATAATAGAATCCTGCGAATGGATGAACCGAAAATGACGAGATTACGCCTTAAAACTAGGTTTACATATCTTGGAATGTTTAAATCTGATTTTCCCCCAAAATAAGTTATTAAAATGATCCTTTACATCTGGACAGCTGGCGAGGCTAACTGGAACCACATCAGAAGGCACAGAATGAAACACTCTGCTTGGCTAGCAAAGCCTCTTCCTACCACATACCATGCATGGCTTGTACTATCAATACACTGCCCAAAGCTCCATTTTCCTGAGGGAGGGAAGTAACCACAACTAAATCGCCCAGAAAGATAAAGCTCTGTGACATTCCTTCTTGAGCCTTTGCAGTTATCAAGCAAACCCCCAGGATACCAGTCTAAAATTATAATTAACATTATTCAACCATGAGTAAAGGCTCCCACAGAATGGCATTTCCACTCGGCCCCACAGAATCCACCGTCTTCCAGAGTATTTGATTGCCTATGTGATTGAGCTTCAGTGTAGTATTTAAACCACATACATTCAGTTCTTTTTTAAAGGCCTGAATCAACATAACTACTGTTTTGGGGATTACATCCCACATACAGTGTCTATTACTTTACAGGACAAACACAATACTTTTAATCTTCAGTCTCGCTTGAGGCTTTTGATTGCGTTTTAATTTGAACAACCTGCTTAAGTCTAGAGTAGGCATTTTAAAGGCCTGGATCTCGTACCACATAAAAAATATGACAGTGATATTAATAAATGCAGTAAGAGCCTAAACATACAAATCTTTTCTGGGTCCAATCTTTGAAAGATATTGCAAATTGAGCCAGAGTGAGCAGCTGTTCCATTTTTTATATCGGTGCTAAATTTGTCATTTGTCTGTTGCCATCTACTGCCAAGACTAGAGGACCTGGATTTGTTGTCTGTGCCAGCACAATTCTAATCTCCTCAAATGGCAGAGGAGAGGTCAATGCTATAACATTGTTAACCAGAGCTTTTGTTTCTGTTTCAGTGGTTCCCCAGCTGCCTCCAAACCAAGAATACCATGTTCACACGCGTGAAATCACGTATGACACTCTGAGTGTGCAGGGAATTGGAATTTAGTCTAAATCACCTGCTGCACACACTCGAGTCACTGTTTGCTGGTTTAAGGTCTAGGTGGAAACGTGAGAGAATCACACAGGAAATAGATACAATAAGTCATAGAGTCGGGACAGTATAATATTATGACATGCATTAGTTACTGATTAGTTACTGATCAAAACACATCTGTTGCACTATAGTGTACAGCTGCAGTGCAACATTACCCACAGTGTAAACAGTGTAGAGTTTATAGGGTTACCCGCAAAGCACAGGACTATCCAGAGAGTGCAGTGACATCCATAATATACAGTATTAACCAGAGTGTGCATCAATACCTGTACTGTACAGCATTAGCCAGAATGTACAGTATTACTGACAATGAATGTAATGTTACTACCACATTACCCGGAGTTGTACAATGTTATTTCAGCCTCAGTCACTGTAGTTGAGTAACGTTACTGAAGTTTGAGTACTTTACTTGAATTATAGTGTAATTGGTCTATTCAATATTAAATTATTCATTCAAGTAACATAAATTTCCTACTACAGCAACATCTTCAGTCTCTTGTGAGCATCAAAAGGTCCATCACAAGCCATGTAATCCGACAATATACATAGAATCTATAACATCAAAACAGGCCATTGTAGCCCAACAAATATGTTTATACTCCACGTTTATACTCCAGCCCCCCACCCCCCCCCCGAACCGTCTAATTCCCTTCACTCTCATGCGTACATGTTCTTTGCAAACTCTGCAGCTCTGTGCTTGTACAATGCAATTTCCTTTTGCTGAATTGGAAACTCTATTGACCTGATCTTCCTTAGTAGGATACAGTGAGTTTTCCTTTCCAAAACACTTAACCCCTGTACCAAATTTTCTCTTTGCCTCTTTTATCTGCCCTTAATGTTGCTGACTGGATCCTCAACTTTATGCTTGCTTCTCAGACTTTGTGGTTAATATAATCTATCAAACTCAGTGTATTTTACAGTGTAAGATTGCTATTTTAGAAGCTGTCAAAGTAGTGTGCAGTTAAATAAGCGAGAAACAACTCAGGTAAATAGCAGTGCTGTCAGATGATGCAGAACCTATTTAATAAGGACTCAGAATCCCCAAAGCAAATATTTTACTGAGGCTTTTTCTGATTGAAAGGAAATCATGTCAGTGACCAGCAGTTATTGTCGTGTACTTTCCTTAGAGACTATTATTCTCCAAGAAATCATTTGATGAACCTACTTTATTTTAATAACAAATTTGTTACGAAGTATTTAATCCAATCTTTTTCAGGTTACTCTTAGCTCTGGTGTCCAATGCAATGACCAGTGGATTGGTGGGGAAGCTCTGTATTGTCAGAGGTACCATTTTTTCGGATCGAGACGTAAAACCAAGGCCCCGGTTCAGGTCTGTTCAGGTGAACATTAAAGATCATCCTGCAATATTCGAAAGAGAAGGGAGTGTCCTGGGTGCAAATCAGCTGCCACAAATTGGTTTGCCTACAAGTACACAGTCACTACACTTAACATTAATTACTGGGAAGGTTCCATATCAAATGCAAGCAGCAATATTATTTTTCACTACTACTTCTGTGCAGAAATACTGAGGCCACAAGAAGAATGGGTCAGCAGTTAAAGGCGGACTTACTCATCCAACAGAATGTAGGAACTTCGGAACAGGAAGAGGCCATCTAGCCAATTCTGAAAGTTTATGAGATCATGTCAGATCGTCTAATCCAATTTACCCACCTGTTCTTTATACCCCTAATAACTTTATTTCCCAACTAGCAATGTAATCCCACATTGTGCTGCAAGGTAAAGTATGCCCTTAACCTTGTGCCGTGATAGTCATCATCATGAATGTTGTAAGTAAAATCCTGTCTACCTTCTAAATAAAGGACTAAATGTGGTTAAGCTATGATTTCACTGTATAATGTGTGTCATTTGAAGTCCCCGTCGGCCACTATTCTGTTCACTCAGTTGCCAATTTAATTTCTTCCAGCTTTACACAAAATTAATGCTGTTTAAGCCCGATTTGCACAAATCTAATTTTCAGCGCCTTGGGGCATCCTCCTGATGTGAAAGGCGCTATACAAGTGTAATTTGTTGTTGTTGTGTGGTAAGAGTGATCTAAAAATAGGACATGGGAGAGGAGAAAATGAATGGTTTGTGATTTAGGTATACTGCAAAACCCAAACAAATTCCCACTTTCTGATTGAAATGATTTACAGTCACAATTGTTTGCACTCATATTGCACACGTTCTATAAGAACTTGAATCAAAATAAGTGTTTGGTTGGTTTTCTTAATCGTTCACTGCCCTTATTCAGCCACAGTAAATGTCACTGGCAAACAGGAAAGGATGTTTAATTTCCAGATTTTAAATGGGTCAGTGGTTTAAATCTTTTGAGATACTTCAAGCCATTGAGAGCAGCATATGTGCTGCAAATTGGTTTTGTGAACCATCTCGGTGCTATTTTTACAGGCAGAACATAGCAGAGTAAGAGTAACTTGTGATGGTTAAGGTTAGGCAACCTAATCAGTCATGATGACCCATCAGTCATTAATCTCTGCGATTGAGCAACTTACTTGGTATTGTTGTGAGTTACGTATGTCATCAGAATATTCTATCTGAGCCGGTTCCCTGGAGGCTCCCTGGCAGCTCAGTAATGTAACGGGACATTTATTTTGTTGGAATTTATTTTGTGGAGCACAACTCCTTCCACCACCAGGTCAATGCATTTGCAACCCTCTGTAGCTGTTATGTATGTTAGACCTCAGTATAATTATCGCTCATCTCTCTATGAATTAGTCACAGACCTGACATTTGTGACTCTGCTTCAAAATGATGACTTACAAACTCCCAGTTTTGCCAGACTGCACCGAGAGAGCTGACAAAGAGATGACATGATTGCGGTATTTTTTTTTGCATTGAAAAATCATGCCCTCTGTTCAGATAATGTGTCAAGATCCTTTGAGGGCGACAAAAGCATAAATGCCAGCTAACCTTGATGTGTCTGAATAATTTCCATATAACCTTAATTAAGTGTGAGCATTTTTCTCAGAAACCGGCTGATGATAACATGCTGCTGCTGCTGCTGAAGGAACACCATTAATAAGCTGTGCTTCACTGATAAATCCAATTCCACGACTCTTATTATCAAGTAAGTATTTTTGTCCAATTATTTGATTGCAGAGCCCCGCCAGCATATGCACAGCTTGACATTTTCCTGTATTTGTGTACAGTTAAGTAAAGGCAGGTCAGTTTTCCTGCTGAGTCTGATTACATTACGGACAGCTGGAGTGCATCTTCCTGGACAAAGAGACACTTTCCTCTGACCCATTAGAATCTGCTTCTGCTTATCAGATGCTTCGCAGATATTGAAAAGGGAAATGGTTAGGGAGAGGCAGCCGTCACTAGGAAACATATATAAAAATCTGTCAATGTTAATCACTTTGCATTGTTAAACCACAAATGAGCAAACGAGCCAGAGAATTTGTAGTTTGCAGCAGTTTAGGAGCAAGATGAGAAGTAGGAGAAATGCAATTATTAGGGATGTACAATCTGCCACAGTACAACATAAGGATAGAGAGGGCAGGGATGTATTAAGATAAAAGTGAATTCATTGAAATAAAATGCAAAGTAATAAAGAGAATGCAGAGATATAAAAGGAATTGTGTGTTGTATAAGTCAGAGAGGGGGAGAAACATGATCAGATTTTCTGCTCAATGAGCCTGCGTGGAGCTGCTCGTATCTGGACCCATTGACCAACCTTGAAACCAATAGCCCTGCAGAGCAAAAGGGTCACATATAAATCTCACTACATTGAGAATATTTATTTTTAGATATAGCCTGTGGGTTAACACCATGAAACTAGGGTTGTATACGTGTTGATTTCAGAAGTTTTAATATTGCATGACAACCCCATATGGAATGGATTTTTAAGATCAGAGTTTCTCAACATTCTGCAAGTCACACTTCTGTTCACATTCATGCATTTTAGGATGCAGTCAGTGAGGTTGAAAGAACAACAAAATTACATTTATAGAGCTCCTTTCACGTCGGGAGGACGTCCCAAGGTGCTGGACAGGCAGGGGTCAGGACCCGAGCATGGGGGAGGGGTGGGGTAGGGGTGAGGGAAGGCAGGGAGGTGGGAGGGCGACTGAAGGCACGATTGAAGATGAGGGTCTTGAGACCGGCCTTGAAGGAGGCAAGGGAGGAAGCGAGGCCAAGGGACTGTGGGATGGAATTCCAGTGTGTGGAGGC